TTTTTTTTTTTTTAAGACAGACTTTCGGCCTGATAGTTATCTAACAAGAACCTACAGTAAACATCTATCTTGATGAAACATTGAAACACAAAGGTGTCCACCCACACCATTTGTGTGTTAATAATAATGAACTGGGCTAGCCTTGGCGTCATGGCTCAAACCTTTAATTCCAGTGCCTTTCGGAGGCTGAGGTAGGAGGATCACCTGAGGCTAGGAGTTAAAGACCAGGCTGGGCAACATGGTGAGACCTCCGTCTATACAAAAATAGAAAAAATAAAAAATAAAAAAAACAGAGTTGGGGCTGGGTGTGGTGGCTCATGCCTGTAATCCCAACACTTTCGGAGGCCGAGGCGGGCAGATCACTTGAGATCAGGAGTTCGAGACCAGCCTGGCCAACACGGTGAAACCCCGTAACTACTAAAACTACAAAAATTAGCTGGGCAAGGTGGCGTGTCCCTGTAATCCCAGCTACTTGGGAGGCTGAGGCAGGAGAATCGCTTGAACCCAGGAGGCGGAGGCTGCAGTGAGCCGAGATCGAGTCACCGCACTCCAGCCTGGCGACAGAGCCAGACTCTGTCTTAGGGGGAAAAAAAAGGAAAAAAAAAGAAACAGTTGGCAAGGATTCTGGATACACAATATACAAAACTCAATTGTTTCTATGCTGCCAAACAAAACAAAAGAAAAAACCCAGTTAATACAGACATTTTTTGAGTTTCCACAGCCAGCCGTGGGGGCTCCCTCCTTTCCAGGACCAGACCCACTCCAGCAGTACCAGTCTTAGGGATACACTGCTCCCTGCCTCCCCCGAGTAGCCACCAGAAGTGTCTGGTCCAGTGCCTTGAGGTATCAGGGGGGCCTGCAGACCCTACTGTATGCCAGCAAGCAGGTCTTTCTCCTAACTTTCACAGGCCTGGCCTGGAGTCTCTGGAATTCCTTCTTCTCCTTTTTCCCTAGAGAGCTTTCTGGACCTTGAAGATGGCAACTTAGCAGCCCTTACTCAGGGAGAGCTTTCTGGACAGGTTCAACTTCCTCCTGCTGAATCTCCTGGTTTCCTGTACCTCACCCTCGTCAGTTTCAATTTTCCGCTGGCCTGGGGGACTGTCTCCTCTGTAAACATGTTCCATGATGTCTGCCTCACTGCCCACAGAGCCAAAAGTGCAGTGCCAGGAGCATGGTAAGAAACTGCACCGGATGGTAGGCCTTTGGGACCCAGGCAGCCAGCACGTTAGCCTTTCTAGTCCCTGCGGACAGCTGGATAGGTACAGAGGAGGACAGAGGCAAACGGAGAGCTTGGCCACACTGCCAAGCCCATTTCCTCCTTGTGGCTTTGCTGGCACTGCTTGCCTGTGGCAGTGGCTGGCACACCCATGCACTCCCAGTGCTGACTCCCACTCAGAGGGCAAATTTTGTATCTAGGTGGCAAAGGGGGGCACTGCAATGCAAGGCATCCAGGGCAATCTCAGTCCATCGCACTCAGAGCAGCACCCCCAGCACCCCAACACCTCTGAGACTGGCTGAGCTGAGCAGACAGCTCCTCGGTCGACCCTGCCTCTCAGGGTAGACTCTGCTCTCTCAGGGACTCCAGGGCTCGGGCTTCCGGCTCTGCTCTGAGAACAGCCTCCCACAAGCGTGCTGGATTTCAGACATGCGAACTTCCCGAACACACACCAACGCAAAATACACTCAACGTGAGGCAGACAAAGGGCGGAAACCGATTCTAGTTCCAAAGAGCAAATGAGTGTGTGAAAGATACTTGGTTCAAATTAATGGTTTTATTTCCATCTTTAACACTAGCAGAGGAGTCCAAAGCAGACTGATATCCATGGATATAGTTTAAATGTAACAAAGAAAGAGTTGAACTATGTACATTGAAAAAAGGAAAGACATTTTTTTCATACCAACCTTTCCCTAGTTCGCAGTTTCTGAATAGTAGAAACAAAACACATTTTTAAATCTTTTTATCAATTTAATTTAGGACGAAGTAACACAACTTTTAAAATTAACCACTGAAGTTGTCTTTAAGGATAAAACTTAAAGAAATTTTAAAATGGGTGGTACCATATTTTATTAGTGGGCTGACTCCAAGGTTGCCTTGCTCCAAGTCTGGGCATCATGACACTCGCATGATGCCCAGAAGAAAGTTAATGGCAATGATGTTCAGTCAGAGGGCAGACACGCTACACATCACAATGATGAGAGCTGAGGATTCTGCCCTCTTCAACTCCAAGTAGAAAATTATTATTTTCATTCAAACTAACTGGAAGTGAGCCAAACAGTTAAAAAGTCAGAATGAAGAATAAAACAATTTTCTTTTCACATAGAGGAGGGACACTCCTTCAGCCCCGTCTAAAGTGAATTCTGTGCTGAGTCCCTGCTCCTTCAGAAGGGTAAACTGAAGGTCAGTTATTGCTAACAAAGCCAGAAGTGGCCCCTTTCCCACTCTGAAGATGTTTCACACGAAAAGGCCGTTTGTTTGGCTTGAAGCCCTCTAAGGAAGGAGGACAGCGGAAGAGGAGGCAGGCTGGCACTGTAAGGCCTCTCTTGTTAGCCACCCCCAGGCCCTGTGCTGTCAGAGGCAGCGTGGGCCACTTTGCTGCCCTTCAGAGAACCTGAGGCTCCCACATACCTGTGGAGTGAGGGAGAGGTTGTCATCTGGGCCCGTGTTTCACCCATCAAAACCTATGGAGCAGTCAAAGCCCAAAGGATCCAAGCCCAGCTGGCCAGAGGAGTAGCTTCAGAAACAAATGGCACTGGGTTGGGAAGGATGAGAAAGCCAAGTCAGGTGGGCCAGGTTCTCCGAAACATGGGGCAACAGTGACTTGGGCAAAAGCCTGGAACTGAGCGGCTGATAAGGCCACAATTACTGCCACCACCTCTCAGTATCTACGCGGGGGCAGACATTAGGCAGTGGGAACCGAGGAACTGAGGACTGGAGGGCGTGTGGCAAATACAGGATGGATTTTATCAGAAAAGAGAGGACACCCAAACACGTGCCTGCCCTATTTATCTTGCATGTCCTGTGCCAGGTGAAGGACGCTGGAGCATGGGTAAGGTTCCTGAGAACAACTGGCGGGCAGAAACGGGCTGGGATGGGCACTGCTCCCCAGGCAACATTAGGCCTCTGAGGGGGACGCTAATAGTGCTACATCTTGTGGGGTGCTGAAAAGTAGGTAACGAATGGCCTTTATTGCACTTTTTTGTTCTTAGGAAACAGGGGATTGCCCTGCAGTTTCTCCTGATTTGCAGAAATCACTGCAGATCAATGGTAAGGTGCAGGCAGAATCACGGGTGACCTCTGACTCTCAAGGGAAGAAGTCCAGTGATTGGTCTTTCCAGGGCCTCAAGGGGCCACTCTTGCACCTGGGATCTTCGAGCTGGGTGAACTGGGTCTGGCTTGGTCAATGTGTGGCAGGCAGATTGGTCGACCGGCAGACACTTGGAACAAAAGGTGGTGTGCCTGGGAAAGCTGGGGCAAACTTTCCAAACAAGGAAAATTTCTTGGCAAATGTGCAGGTTCTGCAACCAGACTAGAACCACGATTCCCAATGTGCCTGACTCCCTTTCTCCCACTCTAGAACTGGACCACCCCAGACGAACAGAGATGGCCTGGGAGGGCCCTGGGTCCAGCGCCATAGCATCAAACTGGAGATAACAAAAAGAAGGGGTTGGAAACAAAAGAGCAGTTTACATATCAGACGTTGGTTCTGAAACAGTCTTTTTGAGCTCAGGAAAATGGAGGCAGATACCACTGGAGAGCCTGTCTGTCTGTCTGTCTGTCCATCCGTGTCTCCTGGGCGACTCTGAATACTTCATATATAAATGGGGTGGTACCGTTTGTGGTTGATCTTTTTCCTACAAGTTGGGCAAGTATTAGCATTCTTCAGGGAATCGCGGAGGCACTGGCTACAGAAGACATGGCCACACTCTGTGGAAACGATGAGACGTCCATTCTGCACGATCTAGAAGGGATTAAAAAGAAGAGCCTCTGAGTTTGTCCTTATCCCAGAGCAGCCATGGTCCCCAGAGAATCCCACCCATCTATGCCTAAGATGACCAATTGAAGGAAAACAAGAGCCAGGCTGCAACAGGGAGGGGTCTGGAGAGCTAACTGTGCCTGCTGCGATCGCTCTAAGCTGGAGAGGAGGAGGCAGGGGCCATGGCATCTCAACAGTGTGACAGCCCAAGGTTATGAGGGACGCCAGTAAACACTAGCCGCTTCCAGAAGAGTCAGGATGGGGGACACAAAAGGAGGACGCATTTACACCCGGAAGCTCAAGGCATACAGGGGTACAGGCGCTGAAGGTGAAAGTTGTAGGGTCCAAGGAGAAACTGGCACATTCTCCACGCACAAGCAGATCTGCAGCAAGTGATGCCCAGGCACGACTGCGAGTAGGGCTGTCCAGCCCCACCAAGGGAGAAGATCCTGTCTCATCCAGTTCTTTCAATGAAGTTTAGAAACCAGAAGCAAGGAAGATACAGCTTGGTTTACTTACCTCAGAGTATCCATCCATGCAGATAGGACAACTGACAGTACCCGAGGGCCTAAGAGCACAGTGCTTCACATTAGTTTTTCAGTCAATGCAAACGTTTTATTATACCCCATAAGTGGCCTTCATGTAAGTGGCCTGCATCCCCTACAAGAGAACCACCCCGGCCTCCTCTGACTCTGCCTTAGCACAGGCATCCAAGAGACTTTCAGAAAAGCCGACTGCCCCAAGGGCATGTGGCAGGGTGAACATCAGAAGGTGCAGACAACCTGAGTCACCCTGCCCTCCCCCAGGTCCCTACTGGCCCCAGGATCCCTGTCTGGAGCCACCGGGACTGCCTGCGCCCACTCTGTCAGCGCTCAGCATACTCCGGTTACAGTGGAAACAGCTGGGCTCAGTGCTGGGCCAGATGCTGGGGAGAGGTCAAGCCCTGCCAGGGCCAAGCGCTCACAGATTTGCTGAAAAGCATTCCTATGCCCTGGCCCCACGCCCTAGCATGGCAGCAGCAGAGCTGGGGGCATGTTGGTACCTGAGGCCTGCGGCGCCCTCATCCCTGGTGTTTCTGGGAGTGTGGGTAGTCACATACACGTCTCTGTCCCTGGACAACTCCTCATCGTCACTGCTCACCACGCAGCTGTCAGCATGGTCCTGGGGCAGCCTCCTAGCATTCCTCCTTGGTCTTCTTCTTTCTAAGGTAAGAGGTCACATTTTCAGGTTGGAGGCTCCCTACTCTTACCATCCTCCCCACCCCCATCCTGATGCCTCTTAAGACCCTCTTCCTTCCCTGCCTGGGACCCCCAGAAAGAAACTGCTGCCATGCTCAGCTATAACCCAGAAGGTTCTGCCCAGCTCTGGAGGCCACTATCTTATCTTCTCAGGAGAAATGCCCCAACCCCTGCTGTGAGCTACCAGCCTTCCCCAAAATCTGGTAGGCCACAAGAAAGGACGACAGCTCAGTGTCAGTGATAGGGGTGAAGTTTCTTCAGCAGGCACAAGCGGACTGCCTGTGCGGGTCTGACCACAGTATGTGTGAAGGGATCTTCCTGCTTGGAGAGCTCCAAGCCCTTGGGGAAGGTCTGCCAAGGCCTGTCGCACCGCAGCTCTCACCTAAGGCAGTTTTTGCTCCAAACCCAGTGAAAAAGGAAATGAAACCACTTACCATCAACAATCTTGTAAAAAGAAGGAGAAAAACAAAAGAGAAACAAGCAATCAGTTTGATATAAGTGATAAATGAAGGCATTTCTTTTTTCTGACCTGTGACACCCTCTGTGGAACCCTCCGGTGAGCAGCAGGGGCCCCACCCTCCTCCCACCCGCAGAGTATCTGTGCACCTCCCCCAGTCAATCAAGCCCATTTCCCAGGTCACTCCACCTCCCAGCTGATGGGCTGTGTCTCTCCCTGTTGGGTGTTTAGTGGAGTCTCTGGGAGCGTGAACACAGCCACAGCCACAGCCACAGCCACAGCCACAGCCACACCATGTGCTGGCTGCTAGACCTGGGGACCTTACTTACTATCTGGGGGCTGCAGCTTCCTCTTCTGAAAAACAGAGTCACCAGAGCCCACCTCTGACTGTGGTGTTGTGAAGATTACATGAGGCAGTGAACATTCAGACAGCACTAGGGGCACTATGCTTTCGCAAGCTGACATGGCCAATGTAGGCCCCTGCCAAGGTGGAGCCTTCACGTGGAGGAGGATTTGCATTGCTCAGTAGGTTGTTACAAATAACTAACAAAGCAAAGCAGGCTATGCATGACCAATGCGTGTGACACACACCAAGGACAGAGCTCAATTCAGTTCTGTGTCCTGGGGGTCTAAGAACCTGACAAGCCCCTCACCTGCCAGCTCAGAACTGACAGCTAGACGATTTCTGCTCCAACAGTTTCAAATTCGGTTCCTCCCGCCTTCTGGCCAAGTGCTCTTACCCATCTAGGGAGGTCAGTGGAACGCCCTTTCCCTCTTGCTCAGCATGCAGGAGGGACTGCTTCAGGAAAAGTTCTCACCGCCAAAGCCCTACTGCTCACCTCACCCTGCCTGTTCCCTGGGCAGGATATCTGCCCCACAGTGACAAGCAGCTCTAATCCTCTACTCTGACTCCCGCACAGCTAGGATCCTGGACGTGAACCATGTTCCCTCAAACAGACACACTCATGCTACTGGCAGGGCAGGGGGTGGAGGCCGACTTGAGCTGCTGTGGGTGTTGGCACTGGCAGGCACAGCTGCATCATGAAGAAACAGTTCTGGCAGAGGCTGCTATGTCTTGAGTCCAGGCCTCTCCTCCCTAGAAAGGGTCTGCAGTACTGTCTACTCGAACCCAAAGATATGAGTGCAGGGGGTGGATCCCACCTCCAGACTTCTTCGTGGAGCAGACATAGCAGCTCCCTAGGTGGGTCAATACTTCGAGGTCAAGAGTTATTCCTTGCGACGCAGCCCGGACACTGCTGATTTAGGCTTCTCCTTCCATGTTAAAATCCACTAAGCTTAAGAATAATTAGAGTGGATTTTGTTTCCCAAATGGCATCCTGACATACACAAATGGCCATGCAGGAAGAATGTAGGCCTGAGCATAAAGGTCTTCGATTTGTGGATGAGAATATAATCCACACATGTGGAGGCGCTGAAAAGTGCTCCCCTTTCCTCTTAGAGGAGACTGCAGAAGGTGAAAAGGGAAATCCGGGGACAATCAGTCAACCTCATCAACAGGACCAAACTTACCAGGGCCAGCACAATGTACTGTCCGCATGAAATCTAGAAAGGAGGCTCTGGTAACAGTGCTGGCCCTTGTGGAAACCCCTGGGTTTAGCTGGGAGCAGAAGCAAATTCTTCTGTGGCTTGAAATGACCCCAGCTTTCTACAGCTCCAGCATGCCCCCACCCTCTGCCAAGATGACCCACTAGTTAGGTGTGGACACCTGGAAGGGCTATGACACTCCCAGTTCCCCAGCCATGAGAGTGGGTACTGAGTCTTTATGGTCTCCTATGAGTCATACCCAGTTTGCCCCTGGATAGTGCCAAACTGAGGCCTGTCCTGAGCCCTGAGCCCGGGGACTGCTGGCAAGCAGCAGGTGATATACACACAACTACTGGGTGCATAAGAACAGGGGGGCCAGAGTGTTTCCTCACTGGTAACAATTCTGACGGTCCCCACTTTCAATGAGAGAAAAACTGCTTACAGATGAGTCTTCAGCATAAGAATGACACCACAGGCCAGGCGCAGTGGCTCACAACTGGAATTCTAGCACTCTGGGAGGCGGAGGTGGGTGAATCACTCACGGTCAGGAGTTGGAGACCAGCCTGGCCAACAAGGTGAAACCCCGCCTCTACTAAAACTACAAAAATTAGCTGGGCACCAGGCACAGTGGCTCAAGCCTGTAATCCCAGCACTTTGGGAGGCCGAGACGGGCGGATCACGAGGTCAAGAGATCGAGACCATCCTGGCTAACAC